ATATATATATATATATATATATATCTGCGTGCGTGCGTGTGTGTGTGTGTGGGTGGGTGTGGGAAGATTGTGCAGAAGTTTTCAATAATTTATGTGAATGACCTATGAATTAAAGTAAAAGAATTTGAGAGAATGAGAAGGCAAAGGCATAATCTATTTAAACCTCAAAAACAAAAAACACCTAAATTTCATCATTAATTACTCTTTGGATCATGGGACAAAGACTCTAAAACCTCGAATTTGATATGATAATTATTGAGGATGAAACAATCTGATTTAGAGGAAGAATCTAGGAGGAAAGATGAATGAATGCCTAAATGTGGGAGGCGAGAGAAAGAGGATTTGATCCTTGGATATGATGTAAAAGTAAGGTCATATATATTTATTTCATCATCAACTAGTCATAATAGTAGGGATAAATCTAATGACGATACAATGATCATAATTTCATCATCAACCATCTTCAAAACAACTTAAGAACTACATATTGTATTAAAAGTCACAATTTTCTTGGAAAATATAATTCTGATATCAATGACAAAACGTGAACTTCTCCACAACAACAAATGATGATTTTACAATTAATAAAGGATGCAAATTTAAATATGACATACTAAATATTGCTGACCTAACTAATGCACAGTGGCCCATGACTATATACTAAAGTGGTAGTTTCTCATGATGCCCTGTCCGATGTTTCATCCTTCATAATATTGAATGAGTAGACAATTCCAAAAAAGGTGAAAAAATGGAAATGTAGTAAACAAAAAGTAGAAATCTATGCCTCATCTTTGGTATGCATTACAAAGAAAATCCTATACTTCCATTTGCATTAGCAGGAAGCGCCGCTTGAAGAGCTTTCATTTGCTCCACTGACTAATGATGAATATTTTTTTGCGGTTTAGACCAGCCTCCTTTGATATCAATGACCAGATATTCCATTAGTTTTCATTAAACATGCTTCATGTAAAAAGCTTTATTACTTATATTTAACTCTACTAAACAATAGCCTCTCCGATTGAATGCGAAAATAAATGAAAATTACATAAGACAGCAATGAAGGCATTTGAGTTGTGAGACAAATCATATTTACATGGAATAAAAAAAAATGGACATTATTAATATAATAAATTAAGTTAGATTACCTGCTTGCTCAAAAAAATTTGCTTGTATTGGCTGCCTATTGGAATTAATCATCACATGCGTCTTCCAAACCTGAAGTGCACCATCCTTTGCAACAGTAACAATCAGTCGCAAAGAAGGAAGCCATGCAATAGAAGTTATTGGATGGGAGCCAGCCTGCGTACTGGATTTTGGCAGTTGAAAAAAAATAACAGTAACAGATTAACAACCAAAAATAATATCAAAACAGTCATCTAACGCATAAAAACACAAGAAAGTGCACAGGCAAATGAAGACCAGAAAATATTATTTTTCATGGTAATAGACTCGGTGGTGAAAAATGTAGAAAAGCTGCACGGAGATGCTGTGACGCACTACAAAGACTGTAATGCTTATCCAGACATAGTTCGTGTAGCAAGTTCCAACATCAAAGAAAATATGCAACAACATCTCAAGTATTATCACAGAAAACTTGAATGATCTTATAAAGAATACCTGTGACGTTGCAACAGAAAGAAATATATTACGCAAAATAAGAAAAAATTTCACATTTTGTAATTTCTGTCATAAAATGCATGCAGAATAAGGTTTCAAAAGGTTCTATTCCATTATCCAGCTTTTAAGTTTAACGTCACAATTTTTTGGCAATTATTATCAATCACAGCAATAAAATCAAATTTTAAATGCTACCTTTCCTTTTCAATATCCCAAAAAACATACACCATACAGTGGAAACTTACATTCCAATCATATTTGGTCTCTCAGTTGATACATCCCATGCAAGAAGACTACCACTCCTATCACCAACAAATATCCACTCCAAAGTTGGATGGAATGCAAAAGCACCAGCACCAATCAGCTTGGTCATATTGTCAACTGACCCAAAAGAAACATTACAAATAAAAATTAAATGGATAAAACCATACTTATATATATAACCTTTATCCAAAATGATGAGAAAAAAAAAACAAAAGGATAGAAATAATGCTAATCATACGCTGGAGTGTATAGTGAACGGCATAGGTCTGAATGTTGTAAGCGCGAATCAAGCCATCAGCATAGCTAACATACTGAAACAGATAAATAATGAGACAATTGGACTGAACAAAAGAGAGGATCAATGACATTAAGATGAACATTTTACCAGGACTGGAAGACGAGGATGACAGGCAATGTTGACAATAGGTTTTTTAAGATCAGTCTTTATCCTTGTTGGTGGCCTTCCCCCCTCAACCGTGCCAACAACTTCAGGTGATCAAAAGAATGCTCTTATTACCATACTTTATAGAGACAAACAAGCAATTATAATTAAACAAACAAACCTGTCACACTCATTCTTCTATGGAAACCAAAAAACACAACAGGCTGGAGAGGTGTCAGGGCAAGATGTACTTCAGCATCTAGTGAAATTTGTTCTGTCCTTTTTTCAGGTGAGTGTAGCACAAGTGTCTGCTCGCAATCAAAATCACATGCTCGGATTGTGCAATCCTATAAAAGGTCAAGGACAACTTATCATGGATAAATAAATGTCTGCGGATCAATTATCTAGCTGTGAGATGATTTTCTAATAAAAAAGATGATAAATAGATGAAAAAAAGCAAAGGACATGAAGCAAATTAAGGAAAAAAACATTTCAAAGGACGTTTATAGAAAATTATGCAGCAATAAGATCAATGCTCCAATAATTGAAAAGGTAAAATCTAAACAATTCATTAAGTTTTGCAAAGGAGTATACAACATTAAAAATCAAACAACAAACAAGTGATCAATCGCTCATACAGAATTAGGACAACTAGGAAAGCAGCTTTCAAGGAAATCAAACCTTGTACTTTAAACTTCTCAGACTATCATTGACAAGTTTCAAACTTTGCAGATTTTACAAAAGATGCTAAAACAGAAAATCACCACCCACCATACCCATTTACATCCAATTTCAACAATTAAGGGTATAAAACTTGAGAAACTTCACCAAAAGCTGCTAAAGAGAAATACCCAACTTACAACACCAAATTATTATCCACTAATTCAAAGGATTAAAACCAGAAAATAGCTCTTTTAAGTACAAATGAATTTATAAAATAAAACAAAGCAATCTGTTGTGATTAATAACCATAAGCAAAATAATAGCAACAACAGATCCGTAAGCGGTATGGTCACAATAAAGAAAAAGATTGAGAGGACCTATATGTTACTTAATACACAAACTTAAAAGGTAATATCGTGTTATGAGCAAACCTCGAGGATAGAAATAACAGTGTGTCCACTAGTTGGGCTATAAGCCATGCGAACAACACGAGCACCAATGTCAATTGAAGAAATCTTGCTTCCAGTGAGTGCATCGAACTCTGTAATTAAGTAGCCAAAAAAAGTTAGCAAGCTTCTACACACAAAGATGTCATAGACATTACTATAATCTAAATTGTTCAGAGAAATTTGTCAAAATACTGAAGAAAACATGAAGATTTGATCAAAACATTCATCCCAATACACAATCAAATGTATTCTACCGAGTATGATGTTACTGCCAATGTGTGTGGATGCAAGAGCGTGTAAAATAGAATGAAATGATAACAAAGCCATCACATCATTTAGAAGAATGATAGAGCAATGTATGACGCATGGCATCATCTAACAGAAGCGGGATCGCGTCCCTGCACAAGAGCACCACAACTCTATCCAAACACACAGGAAGGACCGGTTGGTCCTTCAAAGTAGAGACTTCCTTCCTATTTGAAGTGGGGTCCACTCCTATCACCCTAAGTCTATATAGGTTGTTGTGGCATTTTAGGTCAATTTTTGGTATGCTTTCTATCAGGACAACCGTTGGCTTCTCAGAATTTCCCTTCAAGGTCCGTATCCAAGAATTGATTAGTGCTTCGGCTGTATCTCACTCCCGATGTGGTGATTGTATCCAAGAATCAAATGGTTCTCTAGCTATATCTCGCTCCCGATGAGGTGATATATCTTTCCTCCATCGCTCCGAGCCGCTTTACATCCTCATTTTGTACTGCAGCAGCCCCCTGCAAACCATATCTTGCTGAATTTCCATAATTCCGGCCCCCGCCATTGCTGTCCCAGCCCTCCACTTCGCTACCACTGCTGTTCCAGACCTTCCGCTTAGCTGCCACTGCTGTTCCAGGCCTTACGCTTCGTTGTCATCGATGTTCAAGCCCCTCACTTGCTGTTTCCCGCAGCCATCAGCCCTCCCAACCACTTCCCCCAGTGTACAGCCCCCTCTTTCTTGCTGTTCCCACCCAGGAAAGCAACTGCACTTGTCGTTTCTGCAGCTTCGCACCTTCCCCTCAAGGTTACCCACACTCTTTTGCTGTCACAACGCCTTCCAGCCCTTCCCCCAACCTTTGCTGCCTCTCTGGAGGATCAAATGATCGAGGATCAAATCATCGACAATCAGCACTTGTCATTCATCGCAATTTCATATTTTTTTGTGTCGTGTCTGTTATTATTTCTGTTACAGTGTCTTGGATATAACTCTCTATCCGCTTTTCAACAATAATGTTTGTTTGTTTATTATTATTTAGGTTAATTCCGGTATTATTAAGTATCAGAGCTAACATAATCCTAATCCTATCATGGGGTCATTGAAATCCCCACGCTCTAGTTGAATTTTCCAAACTGGCCGCCCAAAATTTTTTTTCCCACTCTACATTACCTCGTACACCCTCTTCCACCTAATCCAAACCACGCCACAGAGGAGATAATTGTCAAAAACTTGATCATGACGAAATTACACAATGCCACTTCTGATAAATCCGCAAACAGATGTCCAAAAACTTTATAGAGAGGTCAAACTATAACAGAGGATCGCCGCCTTCTAGAGAAAACCATCCAGAGGGATGACACAAAGTCCATTTGATTCTAGAGATAAAGAACTACTGCTTCAAAAATTTAGCATGAAATATTGGTGAAGCCATGATTTTATAGTAATGAAGAATTTGCCATATTTTGATGGCCACATGGATCCAGACAAGTTTATCGAGTGGCTCTAGAACTTGAAACATGTCTTTGAGTATCATGATATTCCACTGAACGAAATAGTGAAACTAGTTGTCAGCAAGTTAAAGAATAGTGCATCTCAATAGAGAAGAACTACATATTTTTTTACGGTGAAAGGGAGAGAATAAAAATACTATCTAATTTAAAATGAAATGAGAGATGCAGCGTCAGTACCTATTAGTTATTTACAGACAAGTTCTTCATGCCCTAGCATCAAAAGTGAAGAGAACCTCACCTAATGGCAGTCACTTCTTACAGGAAGAGTTCAACCCAGGATCAAGCAGCAAGAGTACACTCAGCGGATCATCTAAACCGACTCCACCTAAGGAGACATTAGCCAATATGGAGAACGGGTGGAACTAATATGCATTCCCAAATTCATCCCAACTAAGAAGTGTTTCAAGTGTCACGGATATTGAATCAAATTGCCAAACCAGGAGAATGATCTATTTTACTGAGGAAGGAGTAACTTAACATAGCAGACACTGAAAAAACTGAGGACACAAAGGAGTATCAAATTTCAAATGTTGAGAGAGAAACGCGTAATACGTTGATCCCATGAGAGGGCCTCTAACAAAATTAACATTGGTGATCCAAGATGGTCCTAAGTTTGAGGAACCGACACCAGACACATAGCAACTCTAGATAAGACAATTTCAAACTTTTCAGAAATATACAGTCTTCTTCCTATGTTGCCTCTACTAAGGGAGGTCCAACATGTCAAAAATGAATCTTTTGTGCCCCTTATGGAATGCTATATTAAATCATTTGGGTAGTAAAATCAGTTTAGCACTACAACCACTGATAGATGATCAAACATGATGGATAAATCACAACATTGGATATCTTCTTAGGATCTTTGGGGGGAAAACACCCCATAGTTGGATTTAGGTAGTTTCAAAGAAGAAAAAGAAGAGGTTTATCCTGAGTGGTTATACTTCAGTGTGGTGCCACTTGTCATAAATTTCATTCCAAAGTCGATTTCTCCTATATACTTGTTTATCAAATACATTTAACTGAGTATGAGAAGTGAGAGAAACAAATTACGGATTTAATGACTCGAGAGTTATTTTATCAGAATCTACATCTACATGGAACTCCAACTCAAGTTGTACCAAAGAAGGATGAACACATATTCTATCAGGGTATGCTTTGGAATGACAACGCCAGCAGGATTGACCTACTGGGAAAGTTATAGTAGTTCCACCATCTTTAATATGATCGACCTGACACTATACTAGAAGAAACTAGAAGATTGTTTCGTCCAAGCACACGAAGGACTGACTGGTCCTTCCAAGCAGAGACTTCCTTCCTATTTGGCGTCAGGTTCACTCCTATTTATCCTAGATCTATATAGGTTGCTAGTGTGGAGTTTTAGGTATGTTTTTGGTGTGCTTTCTATCAGAACAGCTGTCGACATCTCAAATTTTCCTTTGAGGTTTGTATACAAGAGTTAAGTGGTGCTTCAATTGTATCTCACCCCAAAGGTGGTGATTTATCCTTCTCCCATTGCTTTTTATCGCTCCATATCATCCTTCCATATTGCAGCCGCCCCCGCACAGCATATCTTGTTGAAGTTCATCAGTTTAGACCACCGACATCGCTATCCAACCCTTTGCTTCACTGTCATTGTTGTTTCAAACCTTCTGCTTCACTGTCACCGCTATTCCAGGCAATCCACTTGGTTGCAATTGTTGTTCTAGCACCTCCCTTACAGTTTCTTGTAGCCATCAAGTCTCCCAGCCACTTCCCCCACTGCCCAGCCCCACTTTCTTACCATCCCCACCCAGGACAGCAACCACACTTATCGTTCCTATAGCTTTGCACCCACCCCTTTACACAAACCCATTTTTTGTTGCCACGCCTTCGAGCACTTCACCCACCCTTTGCTTCCTCGCCAAAGGACCAAATCCTAGTTGATCACCACCACCACTCTGAGTTACACCCTAGTTTGAGTTAGTGTCATCATTTATCAAAATTCCATATTTTTGTAAGTCGTGTCTGTTGTTTTTTTCATTTTAGTGTGCTAGTAGTACAACCTATTGGATTTTTAGTAATAATATTTGTTTGCATATTGTTGTTTGGATCAACTCTAATATTATTTGATATCAAAACTAGCCTAACCCTGATCATATCCTAGGGTTACCGAAATCCCCACACCCTTGCTGAATTTTTCAAGTCGGCCACTCAAAATTTTTCTTCCCCACTCTACATTACTTCATACACCATCTTCCACCTACCCAAACCCAAACCTTAACCACATCAACGAGGAGATAATTGCCGAAAACCAAATCAAGAGGAAATTACACAATGCCACTTATAAGAAATCAGCAAGAGAAGTCCAAGAACCTTATAGAAAAGTCCAACTAAAATAGAGGCTCGCAAGTTTCAAAAGGAAACCACCCCAGGTGGTCACACAAACTCCATTTGATTCCAAAGACGAAGATTTGGCATGAAATATCAAAAAAGTCATGATTTTGAAGCCAAAGTATATTTTTCCTATTTTGACAGTCACATGAATTCGAACGAGTCCATGTAGTGACTTTGGACCTTGTAAAGTGTATTTTAGTACAAAGATGTCCCGTCGGACGGAATGGTAAAACTAGTTATTATCAGGTTAATGAAGAGTGTATCTCCGTAGTGAGAGAACATAGAAATACATTGATGGCGAAAAAGGAAGAGTTAAATTACAACCCAGTCCAAGATGAAACAAAAGATGCAGCGTCAGTACCTACCAGTTTTTTTACAGACAGAATGTTCAAACCCTAACTTTAAAAGTGGAGAGACAATCTCATCGGGTGATTGTCTAACTTACAGGCAGATTTTGTGTCATAATATTTAATAATAATAATAATAATAATAATAATAATATTATTATTATTATTATTATTATTATTATTATTATTATTATTATTATTATTATTATTTTCATAGATAAATTTATTAAAAAAAATTAACTATTTACAACACTTGCACAGCAGGTGTCATTCGAGCGAAAAACTTCACCGCTCATGGAAAGTTAAGAACCAGGGGGAGTTCGTCGCTTTTCATTCAAACCCAGAGAGTGAAAGAGAGAGCGAGAGAGTAAAGTAGAGGAAGAAAAAGAAGAAGAAGAAGAAGAAGCAGAAGGAGAAGAATATGATAAACTTACATGAAGATCCTTTCCTTTCGCATCATGTCGAACAAAGAGCTCGACCGACCCTGTCGAGTGCAGCGAGCAGTAAAGGAAATGAGTAAGAAGAAGGGGAAAGCTCAATTATCTACTTGGAGTGTTCGAACGACTCACCCGAGCTTCCCTCTTGTGTCGCCGACATTTCATCGGTCCTACAAG